TTATCAGGCTTTCTTTTTGTACTGGTGTACTTTTTAAACAAAAAAAATGTTTGACCAACTTGAACGCATTGAGGCTTATTAACTCGATCGACGCGTTAATAAAACTATGTGTTTTTGTGTTTGTCTCTACAGGTTCATCCCGTACCCGCACACCGGTCCCCGGTACTACTGGCAGTGCCCTTGCGGGACGGGTCTGAGGTGCATTCCCGTCAGACGAGGCGAAGTCATCGGCAAATGCCGGCGGCTGAGACGTGGCTAACTTGGCAAATGAGTTGGAATATGAGTAGTACGAAAATTCATGCGCGCACGGATGTCATCAATATACTAATCAAATCAACATGGCCTTATTCAGAGGTTAAAACACCACCGTTGATAAATAAAAAGTAATAAACATAATAATCATGCACAACAAACCAGACACTAGACTTGGTTGCAAGGAGTGACAATGGGCTTTAATCTATGAGAATAAAATTACAACTTTGCTTGAGAATAGTACAACACGTTAGTCAGAACTTTGTAAGTGAATGGTTGGCTCCAGTGAAACATCATTATATCAGGGACAACATGGTTTTTAATAAATGGCAATCCAAATATTGCCCATTGGAAAGCTTAGTAAAATTCTATATTGCTATTCTACTCTACTCTACTCTACTCTACTCTGTTATTGTATTTTAACTTTAATCTACGGATACTATATAATATATGGATGACATCCTCTGGGAACCCCAAAACTGATGGGAGGGTGCGAATAAAAAAACGTTTGGCCCCCCAAAAAGTTGCTTTCATTATGAAATCTACGTGGTCATAAAGGTTGAACAAACACCAAACTTCACATTTTCTCCTTTTCCTGAATTGATTCCCGTATTCTATGACATTACGTTAGTATCGTTTTCCAATACTTTAATAATTTTTCTTTGCAGCATACGACAAATATTCGCTCAATTTGTACGGTTTACAGTATGGTCGAAAACTTTTTTTTTTGGAAACGGACGAAAATGTTTACTTTGAAGCAAACCTTGCACCATTGAAGAGTACAATGTATATATCTATCTCTGAACTCATAGCGACAGCAATCGATGGGAATAACAATGTGATTGGCAGGACAGGGCTGAACGGTCTCTTTCTTCACCTTTCCAAAGACATTTTCCATGGCACACGAATGCTGACCATGAGTGGGATTTTATAATAACACTGGATGAAATATATCTGTCCATCAGAGGACGTTTTCCTTGGTCAATCATATGCACTTGCTTGTATATATGCATAAATCTTGCATATATTAATGAATTATATTTGCATATATGGGAAAATACCATGCTCCCGTTACCTCAATCATATTCTCTACCTAATGACAGTCCTGAAAGAAGCGGCAGGCCACTAAGGTTTCGTTAACTGAAAACGCTGTTGCACAAAATGTATCAAATATAATAATTGTTCGCTGTAACGTTAGAGGGCTTTGGCTTTGTCATAGCTGTGCGGCATGCGGTGTATCTTATTACAGCCGGTGGGCGCTACCAAACCAAGTGCACAGAGGGGAGGCAAAATCCACAACGAACTATTTTGATGAGTCTGTAATACTTTATCATGATAAAACCCAGTGAAGGTAACGCTAGATGGATGTTTCTAGCTAAAGTGTAATCGCTTTGTAACGTTACTGACTGTTGACGTGTTGTCGTGCTCACTGTGACAATGACCTCAACGTGTGATAATGCATGCCAAGTTGAGCCAGTCCCATCCAGCCCATCGGCCATTCACCTCTATCGTCCATTTTAGGACAAGACTTTTCTCAAGACATCTCTAGAAAAAAAGTCAGTTGATGCTAGATCTTCAAATTGTGGATAACGCCTTGAGTGATTTCATGATGGCTGCCGTCTGATTCTTCTGATCGCAGTTCAAGTGGCTCACCAGTTGAGTCCAAACAACTCTGTGGTTAGTTAGTTTTTCGTGACTGGTTGTTTTTCCTGCCGAAAACGGAGGAAAAGGACAAGATGTCTAGCATGTGCTTGGAAAGGTATTATCCAGTCTATTACCTATCTAACCTACATTGATCTTTCTTGCAGGTAATCACGGAAGGTAGGTTGATAAACTTTGCGTCAACGTTGAATCATTACTAGCGTTATGGGGGAGGGGGGCAGAACAAAATGGCGTCAACAATGGCCGGAGTGGAGGCGTCACTTGTTCTGGAACGCCGTTGTGCCGCCTTGTCATCCTTGGCAACCTGCTGTTTACTTCAGTTCGAAGAAAATTTCGCCGCGTTCGGTCACGCTTTTGTGTCTGTCCTCGCGATGTCGGAGTTTTTCGGGCCAGATTTGGGCGCTACCTACCCAACTATGTCCATCTACGGTGGACCGCTCTACACGGAGTTCCTGGGACCCTTCTACGCCAACGGCAGTGGAGGAAGCTTCCCCACAACTTCACCAACAGCCGCAGCCGTGAGTCCGGACTCGGTTCTACACCCAGACTGGGGTGACACCGCAGTTCAAGACTTACAAGACATCTGGATGAATCCAGAAGAAAGTTTGTCACACAAGTACCGCTCCACGGTGGAAAGAGACGACGTGGCACAAATCGAGGAACTGGCCAGTCTGTTCGTCTTTCGTGCCAAAACCTCACGACGTCCGGTACCGTACTACACCGGGCTCTCTCCTGCCACCACACCAACGGCAACACCCTGCCCGGAGCCTGTAGATGAAGCTACGCTGCAGTCTGCCAGCACACCAACCCATCATGACATCAAAATCCTCGCCAGAGAAGAAGAAGAGGAAGATGATGATCTGAAGGACTGGATAAACGGAATGACAGATGATCTGGACATTTCCTCCATGCTACAAGAGGCAAGCAATGATCTGCTGAGTTGTACTGATGAAGAAAACTTGAGTGCGATGACATCCACCGGTCAACTCACCTGTGGTCAGACCCCTGAAAGTGACCATGCTGTCTTGTTTGCTGGTGAAGAGCTGCAGTTCAGTCAGTTTGTTGCTTCATTAGCAAGACAGGATGACAAGTTCAAAACCATGGATCTGGCAACTACTAATGAAGGCCAGACAGAAGGACCATTTCCTTGCCTCCTGTCAGAGTTGCAGCCACCAAAGCCAGGATCACCTGCAACTGAGTTGCTGCCACCAGCCTATGATGATGCCTGTGCTAACTACCCTGACCTTCCCAGCAATCCTGAGGAACCAATGTCCTCGAAGTGTACATCTGTCGTGCAGCGAGATGATTTGGCAGAAATAGCGGCTGTGGCGACACTTTTCGTGCACCATGCCAAGCACAGCCAGCGACACTTACCCTACTACACCTGCCAGTCCCCCGCAGGCTCCCCACCGTCTACTCCACATCTTGTGATGGATGGTTTATCGGTTGGTGAAGATGTACAAAATCTTGCCGAGAGAGCCGAGGAGGAAGACTTAGCGGACTGGGTCAATGGAATGTGTGGCACTGGGAACCTTTTCATGCACCAAGGTGAAAATATTCAAGGTCTTGCCAAGAAAGTCGACAAGGAAGACACACAAGACTTTGTCAGTGAAACGTCTGGTGACCAATCTACACCTACTCCATTGATGCACCAAGGTGAAAGATATCCAAGGTCTTGCCACAAAAGTCGACAAGGAAGGCACACAAGACTTTGTCAATGAAACCTGTGGTGACGAAGGTGAAAATACCCAAGGTCTTGCCACAAAAGTCGACAAGGAAGGCACACAAGACTTTGTCAATGAAACCTGTGGTGACAATATCCAAGGTCTTGCCAAGAAAGTCAACAAGGAAGGCACACAAGACTTTGTCAGTGAAACGTCTGGTGACCAATCTACACCTACTGCATTGATGCACCAAGGTCTTGCCACAAAAGTCGACAAGGAAGACACACAAGACTTTGTCAATGAAATCTGTGGTGATCAATCTATACCTACTGCGTTGATGCACCAAGATATCCAAGCTCTTGCCAAGAAAGGCAACAAGAGAGGCACACAAGACATTGTCAA